TGAGAGCTAGATTTTCTTAATTACGAGAACTTTCAGCACAAGGTTTGTACCTTATATTTACTATTACTCTACACATAATATAGCTCGTGACATTTTTGATGATATAAAATCGGATCGCTTTGTTCATATTAATTAACCTTAGTGCTGAGGTTTGTGTCGGTTTAAGAACCGGTAAGACTACATTTTATTTCTGCCCTAAAGTTATATTTTCCCCTTATTTGTTCCGATTGTTTGCTTGTGGATGAAATTTGATTTGCAACGAATTTTGCAGTATTGTCTTCTATACAGTAATTGTAAGCACCCGTTTTCCTCGACATATGATTTGCTAGAATTTTAGTTCCAAGAACTGTAGTACACATAAAGTTCGATATTACAGTAGATTATAGGCTAAAAAGACGACAATTTGCTAAGGCGATTCTATATCTATACACATTTTAAGCGACACCAACTTTGGATACAATATGCAATTAAATTGGGATCTTAGGACTTTAAACTAGTGGGGAAATATTTGCAGACAGATATAAAATGATTAAATATAATGAAAATTGAAGAACGGATGTAGTTTGTAGTTTTCTATACCAATTTTCGTGTAATCTTAATAGACTTTAAAAAGTCTGAAAACTGCACAGGTTGAGTTCTCAATGTGTTTAGATTCGTTTCCTATTAAGCATATAGATACTATGTCAAAGCAACATGTATGTTGTAGTTCTGGTGTCAGGCTTTATTGGTATGGAGGTTTTTTGTGCTTCCAAGATTATAAATGACGAATCAGTGTTACAGAATTCGATAAGCGAGTTTGGATCTCAGAGTCAAGCATACAGTATGTGCCATCTCATCGGCTTAATTGCCTTCTTGGAATTTAAAGATAGTCCTTAATGTGGGTTTCTTAGAAGCAGTTCGCTTCCTGGAAGATAAAATTTTTCAACTCACTTGTAACGATTGCTGTGCTTCAGTATGGTTTCAGTGAACATTGGATCTAGTCTACCCTGGATTCCAGAGCCTTCGACAGTAAATAATAAATTGAAATTTCGCGAAGGCTCTGGTTCAACGGGGAGAGCCTAATCAAAGAATCGCCCCGTTGAACCAGAGCCTTCGCGACATTTCAATTTATTATTTACTGTCGAAGGCTCTGGAATCCAGGGTAGATCTAGTCTTGATCGGGATTTTACACATCATTTTACACTCCAAAATTGTCAAGCATATAGACTCGAGATAGGATAGGCTTTAACGTGGTTGTCCAAAACGTCTTTCACCCAATTCCAAGAAGCTAAATACCCGAACTTGCTTCTAATGATGGCGGTGTTTGTTGTTGTGACTTGTCTTTCCAGATAATTTATAGCCTGAGATCCCGTTTACACTAGGGCAAAGATTAAGGATTCGTAAAACTAGGCGGATTCCTTGTTTTTTTAGTGTACGGATTTATGAGGCGTTCACACTACACAACTTGACACAGCGATTGGCAATGTGGCAAAATTTTGACGCATAATTTTGTGATGTTAGACCATGTTTGGCTGTGGAAACTAATAGCAATAAATTTGAAAAACGTACGAGGAAGCAAATTCATTCTAATTCTTTTTAGAAAGCGTTTAAACGAAAGGTTGCTTTCGGATCGACACTTTCTTGGATCTTACAAAGATCCCATAAACTTTTCCGAATTCCAAAGTTTCGGATTTATACTCTATTTGTGAATAACGAATCCGATATCAAAACATCCTGAATTTGTGACGAATCCGAAATCTTTTGCCTGGTAAACGGGGATTGAATATGACAATATAGGTAAATAATTACATTGTTTACCCAGTATTTACCTAAACAGAATTTTTAAATTAAATATTTTGTAATCTTGTAAAAGAAAATAAACCTAAAATATTCAAATATTGAGATCTAGTTGAATTGCTGCATGTATCCGAATATCTAGGGAAAAATTGTACGTTTCCTTTAAAAAATGTCACCTCACCGCCAAATGCCTTATAAGCTATATGACACTTTTATCACAGCATGGAAGACCTGGTTCTAAATATTAAACTACTTATGGCTACTTTTCTCGTGACCGGATATTGGGTTTACATTTTAAGGTTTCAAGTTAAATGTGTCAAAGGCTCAAAGCAGTGAACGTACTGATAACAGAAGGAAGCAGTGAGAGCTACATTTTCTTAATTACGAGAACTTTCAGCACAAGGTTTATACCTTGTATTTATTATTACTCTACACATAACATAGCTCGTCACATTTTTGATGATATAAAATCAGATCTCTTTGTTCGTATAAATTAACCTTAGTGCTGAGGTGTGTGCCAGTTAAGACCCGGTAAGACTTCACTTTATTTCTGCCCTAAAGTTATAATTTTTCTCTTATTTGTTCTGACTGTTTGGTTGTGGATGAAATTTGATTTGCAACGAATTTTGCAGTTATATTGTCTTCTATACAGTAATGTAAGCAGGCGTTTTCCTCGACATATGATTTTCTAGAATTTTAGTTCGAAGAACTGTAGTACAGATAAAGTTCGATATTACTTAGATTATAGGCTAAAACGACGACAATTTGCTAAGGCGATTCTATCATTACAAATTTTAAGCGAAATCAACTTTGGATACAATATGCAATTAAATCGGCATCTTAGAACTTTAAACTAGTGGGGAAATATTTGCAGACAGATATAAAATGATTAAATATAATGAAGATCGAAGAGCGGATGTAGTTTGTAGTTTTCTATACCAAGTTCCGTGTAATCTTAATAGACGGTAAAAAGTCTGTAAACCGCACAGGCTGTGTTTAGATTCGTTAGCTATTATGCATAGATACTATGTCAAAGCAATATGTATGTTGTAGTTCTGGTGTCAGGCTTTTACTGGTATGGCGTTTTTTTGTGCTTGCAAGATTATAACTAATAACTGAAGAATGTTACAGAATTCGATAATATATAAGAGAGTTTTGATCTCAGAGTCAAGCATACAGTTTGTGTCATCTCATCGGCTTGCCTTCTTGAAATTTAAAGATAGTCCTTAATCAACTCACTTGTAATGATTGCCGTGTTTCAGTATGTTTTCGGTGAACATTGGATCTGGTCTTGATCGGGATTTTACACTTCATTTTACACTCCAAAATTGTGAAGCATATATAGACTCGAGATAGGATAGGCTTTAACGTTGTTGTCCAAAACGTCTTTCACCTAATTCCAAGAAGCTAAATACCCGAACTCGCTTCTAATGATAGCTGTGTTTGTTGTTGTGACTTGTAATTCCAGAGAATTTATAGCCTGAGTTCCCGTTTACACCAGGGAAAAAAATTCCGGATTCGTAAAACTAGGCGGATTCCTTGTTTTTTTAGTGTACGGATTCATGAGGATTTCACACTACACAACTTGACACAGCGATTGGCAATCAGGCCAAATTTTGACGCATAGTTTTGTGACGTTAGACCATATGTTTGGCTGTGGAAACTAATTGCAATAAATTTGAAAAACGTACGAGGAAGCAAATTCATTCTAATTCTTTTTAGAAAGCGTTTAAACGAAAGGTTGCTTTCGGATCGACACTTTCTTGGATCTCACAAAGATCCCATAAACTTTTCCGAATTCCAAAGTTTCGGATTTATGCTCTATTTGTGAAATTTTGTAACGGATTCATGCTCTTTAGTGTAAACGGCAAAACGAATCCGATATCAAAACATCCTGGATTTGTGACGAATCCGAAATCTTTTGCCCTGTAAATGGGGACTGACTATGACAATAGGTAAATAATTACATTATGTGTAATTTGCACTGGCTAAACATTTCGTCACTTTAGAGAGTGTTTGTGAGCTTATGTGCCACTGATAATAAATGAGTGAATCATGAAATTTGTGTAAATGTGACGTTTAGGGTTTTGTTCTTGCATCAGTAGTACCATGGAATAAGATAACTCATAACAAGAACAATATGGCTTATCACCACATAAATATTAGTACCCTGTTGAATGTGGGCTTGTTTTTATTGAAGCACTGTTCCTGTGGTCATTGGCTTATTTGGGCACAACAGCAAAAATTTAATCAATACAAGAGTGTAATTCATATGCATGACCGGACATGTTTGTGGGTTTGGGCAAGCAAGCTAGCTTTGGATCGGTTCTATGTAATTAGTAGGCGTACATGGGAACAAACTCACTGTAGAATGTAGATGGTTAGATGGTGGAAGGTAGATGTTTCCAACCGTATGTTAACTTACAGTAAGTTATTAAGTTAAGTTTAGTTACTAGGCCTGCGTTTTTAATCAGGTGAGTGAAATCCTTCGTAAATTTAATTTTCTCCTTGAAATCTTGAATTACTACGAATAATGAGTCCCGACCATTGGCGACTTACGAGAACCATGTCGAGCAATTGTCAGCATTGGTGTTTGTATTTTTTGTTAATAATACTCTAGACCGCCTGTACGTTGCGACTTTAATTTGTTGTTGAAGTTGAGAACTCCTACCCTGGATTCCAGAGCCTTCGACAGTAAATAATTAATTGAAATATCGCGAAGGCTCTGGTTCAACGGGGCGATTCTTTGATTAAGCCGCGCCAATCACAAAACAAAATTAGTGGTTTTAGTACAAAAACTTTCTTGCAAGAAATCGACCAAGAACTGCCAGGCGTCTCACAGTTCAAGTGCACTCTTCCCATCAGCCCCTTCGCCCATCTATCCCCACTACAATACTTCATGTAAACTCGTCCTATGCGCATCACTGTTTTTTTTACAAAGAGACGCCTGGATACGAGGCAGGCTTTATGATGTGCTAATTATACGTCCAGTTGAGCGAGAATTCTTTAAAACCAGGCAATATAAGAACAACCAAATGCGCAGATAGCGGCTGTGTTTACACGCAGACGTATTGTAGAAATACGCATTTTGCCACCTTCAGATATTTAGGACGAAACAACAATAATTTAGTATCGAAATGTTCGTCCCAGTCAAGCGATTCTGAATTTGCTCCTACCAGGGACGCCGGAACTGGGGGGCAGGGGGGGGGGCGGCTGCCCCCCTTGCCGTTTGCTAGGGGGGGCAGGGGGGGCAGAAGTGCCCTTTAGTTGTAAAATAATACGTGATAAATCACATTTCCAACGATGCTTTTTGTAGGAAAATCACGAGATTCAGGTAATTTATAGTTTATATTTATAAAAATTTTGGGAAATTTTTGGAATTTAGAAAAATATTTTGAAGAAATGGCGAAAATTTAAGATATCGGGAAAAATTTTTGGCTTCACGGAAAATTTTTGTATGTCCGGAAAAAATTTTTGACCCCTAAAATGGTACACTGACCGAAATTTTTTTGGCGACGGGGGGGGAGGTCGCCAAAAAATTTTGCAGTGAAAAAAATTTTTCAGTAAAGGTGCCCTTGGTGTGCGTCTTCCCCCCTTTGCCCTATTATCGTTCCGGCGTCCCTGGCTCCTACATTTGAGACTACGCATGCTCCAATTGAGATATGTCGCTTTTTTGTCTGACCCCCCACCTATTTCGCGTCACAACATGCGGATTTATTCTATCGGATTTTGACCTTTGTAGATAGAATTATGGACAGCTTTTTTAAAATTTATTTTATTTGCTGATTCGCCCAAGATATTGATATTGCACATAAAATAAATAAACTATTTACAAGAAATGTGCTAGGAGCCATCAGAATGTCATCGGGATGCGTTCACATTGGAAGGGAGAGTTGTTGCATTTCGTATTTTTTAAATTTATTGTACCGAAATTGGAATTTTTTATAACGACAATTCGATGGATGGGATCTCTGTAAAATCATAGTTAATAGAGCAGATGGTTTGGAAACTCAATAGAATAACAATAGAACTCAATAGAATGTGTGTATTGTATTTATGTCAAATTCACCAATAGCAAATTTCCAATTTACCCTATTGTTCGAGTCACGGATAGGCGACTTTCTTTGGGCAAAAATACAATACACACGTGACGGTGAAGGACCAGATTTATGAATAAACGTTGACTAACAAGGGAGTTATATTGTTATTCTAATGAGTTTCCAAACCATCTATTCTATATTAACAATGGTAAAATACAATATTATACCTCAAATTCAAATTGTCCAATGAAACAGCATTTGTACCACGTGACAATGTGATTTTTTTACGGTATTTCACTCAAATCGATGATTTCGCAATGCAGCGTGAGATACTATAATATCCCCACGGCAGATCCACCGTGGGATATTATAGTTATTCTTGGTATATATGACATATATATGCCTTATTCAAAGTCCATGGAAATTCCAATATTAACATGTCAACAACCGAAACGTTGAAGAACTAGACTTGCAGGAACTAGATTTGTAAGCTATACTATATAAAGGTACAAACTATAAAATTGCACTGTTGTAATAAATATTTCAAAGAAACTTTAATTCTGCTGTAAATTTTTCTTTACTTGGGCTTTTGTTTAATACAGTATACATTTAATAGAAATTGCCATTGGCATTGTGATCGACTAGATCGAGCCTTCAGCTATAGAAGTTATTAATACAAAAGCAATTATATGACTTTCTAATCATCTCTCTGTTACTATTTTATACTAAGCAACTGATAGCATTCTATTATTCTCCATGTAATACCGAAGGAATGACATATTCGAAATATTCGCACGGTAAACTTGCCATGTAATTTACTCGCACATTTTATAATTTTTCGCGCATTTTGGATGTCATCAAACATCTATAAATTTATTATTATTTGCCAATGGCGTTCAATTCGACTCTTCGTCAAAAAATAAGGTTTACACACAGAGTATATGACGATACGGTAACGTTTTGTATTAAATTCCATGTTTTCCCGCCATGACGGTATACAAGAACTGCCAGGCGCTCCCCAGCAAGCACCCTTCCCAACAGCCCCTTCGCGCGTCGCCTACCTACCTGAATACTTCATGTATTGTAATTATTTAAAGCGCCTGGGTACGAGGCAGTCCTAAAGCCTAAACCAAAGATAAACGATTGCACAGCATATTCCTTGAGTTTCAGAGTCAATAAAATGATGCTAACGTTGTTTCTTGTTGTATAAGAAATCTTGCAAAGGCCAACACTACAGACCGCTGTGGGAGATCTGCCCCGATGTATCGCATTTCTTGATATAGCAGTACTTGCATTTTATTAATATATTATATCCCTCCATGCGTTTATATGGACTTTATATTTATGTTTATATCAATTCAGACCTAAAAATGATATAAATTTGAAATGCTTGTCTATGTTTGATATGCGCATTTGAGTATATCACTGCATATGTCGATCGTACTTATATGGGCAATTTATTGGTATAAAAATATTTCGAAACTCTTTAAATCCTTATTTAGCTTTGGCGTAATTGCCTCAATGTTGGCGTAATTGCTTCTATACAAAGTCTTCTGTGACAAAGTCTTGTCTTCTGTGACATTTGCCCATGGGTACACTGTAAAAACTGATAGGTTAAAATAACCTATTTGTAAAGGTTGTGACTTATATAAATAGGTTGTTTTAACCAATTGAATAGGTTATAACCAAAATAAATAGGTTAAAATAACCAATTATTTTTTGGTTGATCTCGAACATTTC